ATATTGTTATTAACAACAGAAGGGGAGCTAAGACGGGGACTTACCAGGATATGGATAGGATATCAATGCTCTCTGTAAAAAATACTTCTTTATTCTGGCTTTTCTGACCATTCATCATTCACTCATTCATTTATGGATAGAATCATCCCTTCATGCACTCATTTATTCACTCATTCATTTGATTACCCATTTGTTTCCTCATTCATTTGCTTGTTTGTTGGTTCTCCTACTCCTGTCCCCATCATCCTTTCACTCATTTGTTAAGTGATGCACTTGTTTACTCACTTGCACATTTACAAAGCATTTATTGAGCAAATGTCTTCCAGGTAGACAAAGGAATCCAAGCCCTCATCTTTTCCAGAGACCAGACTGATTTTAGGCAGTGAGTCTCTTCACTTGTACTTTCTAATCTTTTGCATCTCCCTCTTTTTGTTCATCTTCAGCTCTACTGAGCTTCTTCTGGAATCAAGGGACTGGAACTGTGCCTTGCCTTGGGTGTGGGCTCCTCATACTTTCATGAATATCAGGGGCTCGGAGTAGGAACACTGTTCTCAGCACTTTCCTGCTAAATGGTAAACAGATTCAGTACATTTCATGGACAAAGCCAATTCAAAGCCATCAGACCAAATAAGAGAATTCATTCCAGGCAGAGGGCTGGTAACTGAAATTCCAGCAGGAAGTTAACTTTTCCTGCAGGCTCTGCAATTCTAGGAAATAATAGAGAGCAGCCAACTATTTCACTGTTTAAAATTTCACCAGAAAATACTTATCGAGTACCTACTATGTGCAATGAACCAAGCAGGGTACTGTGAAGAATGATACAGACAAGTTTCCTACCTCAGTACTCTGAAATGGGGAGGGGGTGATAACATCTCCACGGATTGCTTAATTCTGCACATGAACATATACCTTAAAAGAATTTAGTAATTCAGATGGGAGAAGTCACTTCTCTGGGGCTTGGAGAAGACTTCCTGAATATGGAAGCTTGTGTGTGTGTGTGTGTGTGTGTGTGTGTGTGTGTGTGTGTGTGTAGGGGTGAGGCTATTACAGAATTAAAATATGGGCAAACATGCAGAGGTGAGTAAAGTCCAAGGCACAAGCATGTCTATCACTTGTATTAATCACCCTTTTATAGATTAAGAAACTGGCATTTCTAAGTGAAATGATTTTTGAAAGTTGCTTTCAGCCCAAGACTGTGTGACAGCACGACCACTGCTTCTCCATGACTCTGTCTTTTGCTGATCTCCCATCAATAAATCTCAAGCCTAGGCTCATCAAGTATATTCTGCCTTTGCAAATTATCCAAGGGACTCACTGAATTAGGAATCTGGAGATCAGTCCCATACTTGTCTCTATCTTGCCCCGTGGCCTTAAAAGAAACATCAGTAATAGCTGTGGGATTTTGTTTATTCACCTACTCAGTGAGCCATTCCAGAGATGTGCTAGGCCTGTTCTCAAAGTTCTGAATGCTTGCATGCAGGAGTTACAAGCCAGCCACCTATGCAATATGGGATTACAGGCAAGTCTTTGTTGGGATGGTCCTGGTCTAGTGATGTTTTTCCTAATTTCTCTTGCTTCCCAAAGGCTCCACAGCTGCACCTCCAGGAGTCTCCTCATGTCATCTCCAGTACCTCAACTGCTATTCAAGCCCAGAAACCTTGTTCTTGATATGATACATATATGCAAGACTGTTCGGGTCATAAATTTCCTCCCGGACTGGAATGCAGAGGCTAAATCCCAAAAGTACAGCTTTCCCAAGTTTTAATTAAACCCACAAAAAGATTCCAAAAAGAAAGACATAATCTCAATGCTTTTATTCAGCGGCAGAGCTCTGAAATTACTTCAGATTTCTGCTGCCTTCGGGGAGCTCTCCCTGAGCACCCAGCTTTGGCTAAGTACATTCTTTTTGGAGCTCTAATCATGTGCAATTTTTGTCCTATTTTAGAGACATATATGTGTTTCCAAGTTGTACTTTCAAGGCATACAAGATTTTAGTTAAGGGGCCTATGTCATGTTCAGGACCAGCCACAGAGCACAGGTCAGTGGGGGCTATAGGAAGAGATCAACATCTCAGTACCCGAGTTTTTCATCCTGGTTACTTGGGGAGGACTAGAAGAAATTTCCAAAACTAAGCTGATAACAATTTCAAAGGTACTTCCAGGATGGCCTTCTACTTCTAGGATGGCCTTACTCTGGACATGTGGAAGCCCCAAACAATAGAGCCGTAAACTGAATAGTTCCTAAAATTTGCTGACGATTTATGTAGCAGAGGCTGTGCTAAAGTGTTTACCTTGCATAGTCCCTGGAACGCACACAACACAACAGCTATTTTAAGATAGTAACTACTACTGTCCCAGTTTTACAGTGGAGGAAAACAAGACTTAGTCATACTGCTAGTAAGCGGTAGAGCCTGGATTTGAACTCAGCAGGGAAACTGATTCCTGAGTTCAGAAACACCAACCACTCTCTTCCGACTGCATCTAATTAGATCTGAGCCTGACGTCTCAGAGATCATAGCAGCAGCTCTGGTGAGAACATTGACAATAAAAACCTCAGAATTTGAGAACCAAATGGAACTTGGGGAAATGTCTAATCTAACTTCATCATTGTACAGAAACCAAAATGCTCAGCTTACTCAGCCAGGGTGTAATCCCCTTGCCAAGGCTCTGTCCATGTTTCCAAGCTGCCTCCTTTGGAAGGGTCTTGTGATGATTAGCATTTCACTGAGCAAGACTCTGGCAGGGGTGCTGGGGGGAATACATTGGAGGGGGTGTAACTGGACTCTTGGAGAGTTCAAGGCAATGCTTAGAGATCTGAGCAGGAGGGGCTGAGCCTCAGGACTCAAGTCACTTGTCTTGCAGCCCACTCAATGGCCGTGGACCTACTAGGAGCCTTAAACAAACACTGTGATAAGGCTTAAATGAGATTGTGTGTATAAAACAACTAGCACTGTTCCAGGCACACAGTAGGGCACACTGTATGCTGATACCCCTTTTCTCTTTCTTAAGATCTTTGGAGAGAAAAGCATGAGCTTTGGCATCTGGCAATCCTGCAGGAATTGATCCTGGGCAACCTAAAGTTTTGGGTAGGAGAAGGGACTGGTAGACAGCAATGTCTGAGCTTTTACTGTTTCCCGAGCCCTATGCAAGGAGCCCCATCTGGGGTGCATCTGGGGTGCACAGGAGCCAGCACAGTATATGAGGCAAGGTCTTCCTTCCCCTCACTTCCTACATGACCCCTTTCCCTCTGGGACACAGCTGTCTCATCCACTAGATGGATATGAAAACCAAGGCTTAGAGGGGTGAGGAGTTGCCTAAGGTCACACAGGAAAGGAATGATGGGGCTGAGATTCACACCAGACTTTATTGGATTCTGTAGTCTGAGATCTTCCTGTGACACCTAACTGCCTCTTAAGGACAAAGCAGGTATTGAAAACATTTTAAAACAAACTCCTGAGTTTCCTGTCCCCACAGTCCCCCGGCCCCTGGAACCTTATAGTGGTCAGACACAGGAAAAAGACCTGGATGTGGTACAGAACACTGTCTCCAGTCAAGCAGCACCCCAGGATCTGTGCATGCAGAGGGCTCCAAAAGTCAAGGCCCTGCCCTAAGAGCTGTCTAGCTCAGGACTTGAAGAAGAGCAACCCATCCCTTCCTTGCTAGGAGGACGTGGAACTCAGCTAGCAACTGGGCTGATGTTGTTTCTCCTGTTCTGGTCTATAAATGGCAGCCCAGGTTTATTACCTAGGATCTGCATCCAAGAGATCTTTTTCCTTGGCATTCAGCTGGACTAATGCTTTGGGGGACTAGGCCAGAAGTTGGAGCCCTAAGTCCTGGAGCTTTCAAGGATAGCTTCCGCCCGAGGAGCTCTGTATCCCAACCAAGGTAAGACAACCCAAGTCCTAAGAGTAGACTCATTGTGCACTTGGGGTCCACCTCCACTTCAGTTTAGTTCTAAGCCAGTACAAGAGGTAGTGGGAAGCTGTAACCCCTATGTGTAACCAGAATCTGGGTTCCAATGGCAGAACTCGAATGTTTAAGTGTCAGGTTACTTAGAATCCTTATACAGTGACAGTGGCTTTCGAGCATTTAGTGAAACCAAATCCATCATTATCCCTTTCCTAATTGCTTCCAGTCCCTCTATCCCAACAGGCAACTTTGTAACTGCTGGTTAGAAATCAGGCCTCTATCCTGCACCATGGCCCAAAATGTTTGCCCAACTTTACACAGATCCCTTTGACAACTCTGCCACTGGTGAAATGGGGAACAAGCTCAGCTGGAAGAAAGCAGCTGTAGGGCAGGCGCCAGGCAGGAGGGACCACAGGGTAATAGGTTGTTCCACACATGATGTAAACTCCCTCTCACCCACCTTTGGACAGTGCCCTCAGCTCCCCTGAGGTCCCCAGACCTTGGTGGCACTTCCTGTGCTGCCTTCGCTCCTACTGACTCCTCGAGCCACCACAACATGAGCACAGGGAGTTTTACCACCTGGCAGCAGCTGATTCCTTTTGGCTTGCAGAGGTTTTGAGGGTGGGAAGGCAGAGCGCCCTCTCTCTCCCTGATGGTAGGACTCCCAGGTCTTCACCTGGCATCACCACCCAGAAGGGCTGTGTGAGTGTGAGCACCCTTCCTCACGGTACACCAGCACCAGCCATCATGGGAACAGGAAGAGCTTCCCAGCATCTGCACCGGAGAATCCAGCCATCCCCACCTGTGAATTCGCTTCCTCCCTCTGGTCCTAGAGATTTAGGACCGGGGGACGGGGTTCACCTGGTGCCCCAGAGGAGTCCAGGAGCCCTGGGGCCAGCACCCACTCTGGCTCCCTCCTCTGGGTGTTCACACCAGCCTCCCATGGTTTCACACCCCTTTGGATAGGAGAACCTGTCCTGGCTCCTCATGGAGAGGGGGCCGGGACTAAGGGAGGCAGATGGAGCACCCCGCTTCAACAACTCAGCACCCCCAAACCAAGCCGGGGGAACAAAAGGAAGAAGGAGTGCTTACCTTTAGAGGGTCGCCTTTGTTTGGTTTGCAGAGATGAGAAGGTGCCCATGACAGCCCCCATGGCAGCGAAGACTTGGGTGCGACTTGGGACCACGGATCCTGCCCCTCCCCTCCCCTGGAAAGAATCAGTGTGGACTCTCTACTCCGAATTGGAGGAGGAAAAAAGCAAAGAGCACCGGCAGCTCGCCTGCAGGTTGGTATTCAGCGAGCGCGGGGCTGGGGCGCCGGGAGGCTTCTTGCTTCCTCCCTCAGCCCTGCACATGCACTGACTCACAGGGCCCGCTGCTCCCGGGGAATCTTCGCCACCGCTCCCCAGCGCGAGATCCCAGCCCGGCCGGCGCCCTTGCTAGGGGCCGGGGAACCGAGCTCCGAAACCTTCCTGGCGCTCCACACGGGGCCGGCGCGCTTGCCCGGCCAAGGCTGCCGAACCCGCGCCGCGTGCGGTGCGGGAGCCGCGGTCCGCCCCCTCTACTGCCGCACGCTCCGCTCCGCACCCGGCGCTCCGGCTTGGTCTCGGGGGGCCGAGTACCAATCATGAATGAACAGAGCCGGGGACTGGCGCGGAGCGGAGCCGCGGCGCCCCGCCTGCACTGCCTGCGCTCGGGGCGCGAGTCTGAGCGGCAGAGGCGCAGCCTGCGGGGCTCCGCGGAGGGGCGGGGCGGGGGCGAGGGCTCCAGGGGCGTCCTGCAAGGCCCTGCCGCCCGCACTCTGCACATCCCACGGGCTGGGCTTATGGGGGACATCGAGAGGGCTTCTGGGCAGATAGACGGACTAGGCACCTAGCTGATGGGTGAGGTTCAGAGGGCACGGGATTGCCCCCAGGGAGAACGTGTGTGAGCGCGTGAGCAAGCGTGTGTGTGTGTGTGTGTGTGTGTGTGTGTGTGTGTGCGTGTGTGTGTGTGTGTGTGTTTCCTTGTGTGCTGCTTTGTGATTTCATTTGACTTCAGAGGAAATCGTATTAACTCACTGCCTGAATTCCTGGGGTGGGGAGTCTGTACCACCCAGGAAGAGATGAGGAACACAAACCACAAGAAAACAGCGCGCTCTCCTACTCTGCAGACTTGCGGGGCCTGCAGAACCCTCAGCCCGAAAAGCCCACCTTCAAATACAAGAACTGGGGAGGGGAAAGGGGCTTTGGGGCCCGGGACCCGGATTTTGCTTTTTATCTTCCCTTCCTCTCTCCTGCCTTCATGGTCCTTCGGTTTCTCCCTGGCCAGCAGAGGACGACAGGCAGCTGTGGGCAGGTCTGGAGTGCCCAAGGATTGAATTTGGAAACTCCTCCCTGCGATGGCTTCTGGCTGAAAGGCACGGTCTGGGTTTACTCCTGTGACTCCACTTCCTTGGATGCTGACAGGCAAGATTTCTTCCTGGAACACTGAGAAAGCCTCCGCTTCCCTAAGCATGAGCGGCCAGGGTGCTGACTCAGACCCTTTTAGATCAGCACTGAGAATCCTTGGCTTCGGCTGCTTCCAAACCTCTGCCCAGTGGTTTCCTCGGAGCCACACCGATACACACAGTGTTTACAACTCACTGAGTCCCCCAACATATGGCCTCATAAAGATGCACGTACACAAAGACCCACAGACATATGCACACAGCCCCTCAAGCCCACACGGAAATTGCCTTCGTACACAGACAGGCCCAGTGCCCATTATACACACACAGGTGCAGCCGTGTGCTTCCACCAAGGTGCAGACACAAACGCAAGCATGCAGATGCACGCGCAGTCACCCCATTCACACAGGCTCACGACCACAGAGACACGGTCTTACCCTGGGGATGCAGGAGTCTCTGGAGCTGCTTCTCCGGATTCAGGCCCATTAGCTGTCCCTCCAGGGCTGCAGGTGGCCTTTAACTTGGCCCTGAGACCCTGAAGAGTGTTCTTCACCTAGACAGCACTTTATGTTTTCTCAATTCCAGCACATGGCCTATTTTGAGCAGCGGGAAGGTGTACTAACATATGTTCCTTTCATTTGCATTTGCCCACTGCAGTGGAGCTGCATCACTCCGTGTGATGCCCACCAAAGCCCTTTGCATTAGGCAGTGCAGGCCTGATGGCCAGCGTGCAGGGAGTTTGAGGCTCACCTAGGGTAACACATCTGCCTGGAGTCACCCAACCAGGAAGTAAGGTTAGAATGCAGGTTGCAGGGCTCCCTCACTGCCTCCTGGGGTCCCTCCTATTGGCAGATGAGAGCATTCGGGGGCAGGGACTGAGTTGAAGAGACCTGCTCTGGGCCCCACCAAATTCAAAGCCTCAGCTGTCCTGTCAGTTCAGGGCTCCTCTAGCCCTAGAGGCCTGGAATGCTGGGTGGTGAAAAAGGACATAGGGACTGGCCTCTGCCTCCTTTCGGCCTTTCCTGCAAGTCATGCCAGGGCTGGGGCTGAAGTGTGGAGTCACTGGAGGATCAGTTAAGGAAAGAGGAGGGCGCTTTGCTGAGGAAGGCATGATGCCAGCCACACAGGTCTTTGCAGCCTCTCAGGGACATTGCTGGAGGAGCAGCAGGTCACCTCACCCTCTGGCTCTGCTCATCTCCACACAGCCTGAATGGGAGCAGGAGAGCCCCTGGGAGCCACCAAAGCCCTCTCCTCCCACAACTCTCTAGAGAGGCAGGGTACGGGCAAATCACTCCATTTTACAGATCAGACATGGCAAAGCACCTCTGAAAGTTTTAGTGATCAGCTTCCTCTGAGCAATGGGAATAAAGGAAGTCATCAATGTGAAGTTCAAACAGCTGGGTTTTTTTGTGACCTAGGTTCTTCTACAAATCCACCTGTGCTTTGGCTAGATGCAATCCTTACTCTTCCCCAAAAGTAGTCCTGCCTCAGGGCCTTTGCACATCTACTCCCTCTATTTAAAATGTCTCTCATCCCTTTATCCATCTCAGCCTGCTGCTTTTCCTTGAATATCTACATCAGGTAGCACCTCCTTCAGGAATCCTTCCTAATCCCAAGTCGGTGACCCCCTGAGGTCCACAAGGCTCTTGAGGTTTCCTTTCCTATTAGCATTCTTACTACCTCAATTTTCATTGTCGCTTTCTGTGCCTGGCTCTCTCTATGAACCCTGAGTCCCCTGAGGGCAGAGCCAACATTGGTTTGGCTCCATTCTCTCTGCCAAACCTCCAGTTTCTGAAAGAGGGATAGTCCATCTATGTTAAATGAAGAAGCCAATTTTTTTGCTCAGTGACCCCCAGTTGGAAGTAAAATCTGATGATTACCAGATCATCTTTGACCATTACAGAGAGAAGCACACTCTCCCAAGTGAAGATTCATTCATTTAACAACTATTCATAGCACTTCTACCACTGACCACATATTTAGAGGCAGAACAATAGTTCATTTATTCCTGATGATGCCCTAGGAGGTAGGTATTATATGCAAATAAATAGACACACACATGTGCTCTGTATGGTGGAGCAGATGCCACCCAGGAGACGTTAATGAAGAATGTGTCTAAGTAAGAATACACGGTCAAGGGTGTGACAAGAGGGAACGGAGATGACAGCAGACCCACTTGCTACCAATTGGGAACTCGTAGCAGAGAACAGAAAACTGTGTGGGGCAGGGAGAGAGGGAGTACCAGGGCAGACGTGCCCAGGAAGCCTTCTGCCAGTTGACTTGGATGCATGAGCCATTTGTCCCACTGTCCTTGACATAGAGAATTCACCAAGGTGATCTGGGCAGCACCATCCTACCATAGCTCCAAAGACCATAGATCCTTCTGCTTTGGAAGGTGAGCTAGCTCAGGCCATACCTCCAGATCTGATCTCTCCCTTATTCTCCCTGGTGTGGGATGAAATTTTATGTTGCCCCCAAATTCATATGTTGAAGCCTCAGTGTGGCTGTGATTGGAGATAAAGCCTCTAGGAAAGCAGTGCAGGTTAAATGAGGTCAAAGGGGTAGAGCCGTGATCTAATAGGGTTGATGTCTCTCTAGGAAAAGACATCAAGCCAGCTGTTCTCCCCTGCACACACAAAGAAGTGGTCATGTGAGTGTACTGGGGGACAGTGGCTGTCAGCAATCCAAAGGGAGAGGCCACATCAGATGCCAACTCTGCTGGCACCTTGAGCTGGGGCTTCCAGTCCCCAGACCTGTGAGGAATAAAAGTCTGTTTGTAAGCCACCAAGCCTATAGCATTTTGTTATGGCCCTCTGAGCAGATAAACACCCTCCCCCACCTCCCCAGAACCAGGCCACAGCCTTAGAAGCGAGCCCTTCCCTGTGAGATGAGCCTCTAAGTCAAACTCTAGGGCACCCCTCTGAGGCTGTTAGGAAGGAAGGCAAGGTGTGAGGTTATCAGAGGCCTGCAGACAGCCTGGTAACGTATTGCATTTGCTTGTCTGAGTTTATGTAGCCTGCAAGCCCTGTCCTTTCTTATCCCTCCCTCCTCCTTTCCCTCCTTGCCTCCCTCCTCCTCCCTCTTCTTCTTAATTCATTTCTCCATCTCCCCTTTCCTCCCTCTTTCCTCTCTTTCTTCCCACCGACTGTTCCCTCAGCCACGCTTCTTCCCATCCTCATGGACAATAGCAGTTCTTCCCACCATAAATGCAAGTATATGGTGTCAGAGTATGGATTTGGGATGCTGCTAGAACTGAGTTCCAGTCCAGATTTTGCTCCTTTGCTATTTGATGAGTATGTGGCCTGATGAGTAACTGCTCAGAGCCTTCCATTCATCTTCTTGTGCACTGCATGCACACCTGTCTCATAGATCTCTGGGAGGGGTGGTAAGAGGATAACTGTTAGGTCCTCAACAGGTGTCTGGAACACAGGATGGCCCACTGTTGAGAGTGGACTGCTGCTGTTCCTGAGGCTACGGGCCAGGTTTTGTGCTATGCTACAGGCTATAGAAACAGCTAGGCCCCAGCCACTCCCCATAGTTTCCATGCTTGTTCTTCATCTGTTTGATAGGAAATCTATTCTCAGGGTCCCCATCTGGTATTAAAAGACTCAGTTAAGGAAGGGAATGTGGTTGGCACCTGATTATGTGCAATTCAGCACTCTCCTCACTGCTGTGTTGTAGCATTTCCCAAATGCTCTGCATGCATAAGTCTGGCCTCCTCAAATAGACTGGGAGCTTTTAAAAAGCAAAGGCCAAGGCTCCTCCTGCTTTGTGTACACCCCCTGCCCATCCCTGTCCACCGCAGCTCAGCCTGGTCCACAACATCCTAACTCTTCCACAAATATACACACTCAAATCATTCAGGCCAGGAAAATGTGTCACCATCCAGCTCTGAGTTTAAGCCCCCTCTTCTCTTACTCAATGTGTCCCTGGCTCTCAGCTTTCTCACCTTTGAAACATGCACACAGCCATTCCATGGGGTTGGCAAGAGGACAGGGAAAGATTAAGTCAAGGGAAAGGGTTTTTGTCTCTCTGTAAAGCACTCTGCAAATGACTTGTATTTTCATTTGCTCTCAGCTCAGTTAGTTACTCAGTCATTCACTCAGTGAATATTTACTAGGTAGCATCTATCTGCCAGGTGCTGTCCTAAATGCACAGGCCATAATGAACAAGAAGAGGCAAGAGTTACTGGCTTTTTTGATTACTGCCCTGAGGAAGGCAGTGATCTAGGTCTAGCGAATCAACTAGTCTTATAGACAGAGT